ACCATGACCGTTATCAACGAGAGAAACACTGGCAGGAGATAGCCAATATTCTTCAGCTGCCTGGTAAGTTTTTTCTGCTCTCATTTTCAAGCAAGCGCAACAAACATACAAGCTAGCGCGCTAGACGAGGTACAACACACACACACACACACACACACACAGAGGGTGCACCTGGCTGTAGCCGGCTTACCTCCAACTCTCGTTGTAAAATGGACAAACCATACTGTCCACGTCTCTCAAGCCATCTGCGAGTCCATATGCGCCGACGCCTCTTCTTTATGGATGTTTCGGCGCACAGTATAGCGCAAATCATCAAAGCAAACCACTTGTCCTGCTTTGTTGACAACATCGGCACTTCTGGAACAAATCAGAGCTTTCAAATGTATCTTTACTGATAGCTGTCAACGGGCAGGACAGTCAGCAGGGGCCGACGAGCCGTTTCACCCGTACAGTGTGAGCTCTCTGATCGTGCTTGATGATCTTAACGTACAGTGTGAGCACATAAATTGTGAGCTTTGGCCGCACATCGCAGACGATTCACTCGTACAGTGTGAGCTGGTATTAACAACAAGATTTTAAAAATCGTACAGTGTATGCTGGGCTTAAGTGTCTTGTTGACCCTATCAGATTGCTTGGTCAGAACTAGTTGTTGTATTATTACATTTTAAAAACCAGGCCAGAGACACAATACAGTAAAACTTAGCATCACTGTAAAATATAAAACAAAGTCAACCAAAGAGCTGAAATAATGACAGCAGCTGAGAGGACTTCCGATTTACAAACTGCTTAGCAAACCACGAACAACAGCTGACAACTTCCAATACGTTGACTAGTTAAAGAGTGAGTGTGAAGTGTTTTCTGACCGACTGAAATGACTTGCTGCTCAGACAGACACTGAAAGAAGTCAATAAAGTATGTTTGTGTGTGTGCTGCGTTCAGGGACTTCCCCGTAGAATAACAAGACCCTGCAGGAGACAAAATAAAATCACTGAGGCATATGGAGAGCAGGTTGACGGTTGACAGTGTGTGTGTCTCTGTGTGTGTGTTTACACTGTTTTTTTTTCTTGGGTCGTAAAGGGGAGGGTCAATAACAGTTTTGGCTGGATAAAGGTGTGTGTGTCCTTGCAAACAACTGGACTTCTGCCATTTCCACACCTGGCTGCGGTCATGATTCTGGATCATTGCCTCAAACACAAACACACACACACACACACACACACACACACACACACACACATTCCCCTTCACGGTGAAGTTAACAGGCTTGAATCTTCAGCCTCCGGCTGCTGAAAACTCACTTTCCCTCCTCATCCGTCCATCCATCCTTTTATTATCCTCACTCCTTCCTTTGCTTCCCTTGATCATACGGCTCTTTCCTGCTCATGTTTTAAGAAATTTCAGAGATCCTTTGACCCTGAATTTGATCTAATTTTGAAAAATACCTCATGTTTATTTTATCTGAGATACAGGTACTGACATTTTAAAGCTAGTTTTCCTCTTATGTCTGTGTGGGTTTCTTGCAGGTGCTCTGGTTTCCTCCCACAGTCCAAGGTCATGCAGGTTAGGTGAATTGGAAACTTTAGATTGCCCTGTGATAAACTGTTAAGCTCCTGGTGTTTCCTGCCTCTCATCCAATGCATGCTGGGATAAAACCCCAGCCCCCGGAGACCCTTAACAGGATAATGGAGTTGCAGAACGGATGGATGGATGAATCATAGGTGCATGGTTGTTTCCTTGTGTGAGCTCAGAACAGCTATTACTGTAACTTTCCACCCACGTGTTGGATGGAATCACGAAACAAATGTACTCTAATAGTCTGAAAAAAAGCGGCTGAAGAAGTGGGGCCCGAGAACAGACCCCTGGGGAACTCTCACTTGTTATTTTTGTCCAAAATGCATCAAAGCATCACAAAGAGTTAACAGCAGATTTTTTACATTAGCAAGTCCTGACCCTTTCATCCTGAAAGTGTTCTTTCCTCATTCATCCTAAATTACTGTCATTACACATCTGTTTCTCATCCTTGTTTTATTCTCATATTTTTCAAATATGTAAGCAGTCATTCTCTGTAACTGCTTATCCTGTTAGGAGTCGTGGGGGGGCTGGAGCCTATCCCACCTGACATAGGGCGAGAGGCAGGGAACACCCAGGATCAGTTGCCAGACTGTCACAGGGCTGACACAAAAGCCCTGTTTCCAACAAGCAGTACGGTACAGTTCTGTTCAGTATGTTTCCACTGTGTAAAGTTGTGGATGAACAGTTCCGTACCGTCCCCATGTTTGGTCCCCCCTCTGTTGGGGTACCTAGCACACAGATCTGGTACTAAAAGGTGGAGCTGTGAACACTGCAGTCTGATTGGTCAGTAGAGGACTTTCACTCTGCTCAGGGCTGAGTTGTGTCTGGTTTTGAGGCTCATGTAACCACTGTTCATACTGTGGAGAGTTTTATTAGTAAACTGTAACTATAAAATGAAAGGATGTTTTGCTGCCTCTCACAGCAGCTGGAGTCTGAGAAAATAAATTCACTGGGCCGACTGCCGGCAACTTTTAAGGTGGAACATTTACTTGTACTGTTACTCAATGTATGAGTTGACAGCATGAATCCATCAGCACACCTTGAATTTCACTGTGACAACTTTGATCATTACTATAGTTTTTGTTGTTTCTCTTTGATGACACAGACTTTTAGTAATGAGTGGATCTTCATGGGTTTAAAAATATGTATTTATGTCCAACGCATTATATCCCAATCCTCACTCAGTGGGCTACGTCAACACTAAACCCCTGAACTTGCCTGAGAAGGACTAAATGCACAAACTCGCTATTTTTAAATATCCCATGGAGAGAGACTCTCACTGCAGCCGGTTCTATTTTGTTCTGAAAATGTCGGTGTGCAGCCTCGTTCTGTGGACAACAAACCAGGAGCAGACTTCCCTCTGTGTTAGGTATTGAGGAAATACAGTGAGTGCTGGACGGAGCAGTGAGTGACAACAACCCTGCCCACATTTAAGAGGACTGTTTGAGGTGGAAACACTAAACAAACCTGGGATCTAGGTACCACGTCTGAAGGGTTACTGTTGGTTCCAAAGGTACCATAGCAAAAGTGTTTGGTGGAAACAGGGCTAAAGTAAAGAGGCAGACAACCATTCACACTCACATTCACACCTACGGACAATTTAGAGTCAACAATTAACCTGCATGTCTTTGGACTGTGGGAGGAAGCTGGAGTACCTGGAGGAAACCCACGCTGACACGGGGAGAACATGCAAACTCCACAGAGGGGCTCCACCACCCTTGGGTTCTAACCCCCTACCCTGAGTTCAACAGAAATCCTCTTGCTGTTAGGTGACAGTGCTAACCACTGTACCACTGTGCCACCCAATATTAAATTATAAAAAGAAAAAGACATGAAAACAGTACAATATATTTATGTTTATTTTGAGATTTTTCTCAGGGCTGTAATTTGATTTGGCCCAGGGTGCAGCAGCAACATAAACCAAAGGTCCATCTACATTTGTTATTACAACCACAGCCATGTAGGTAATGTGGGCCTTCTACTTATAATGTGGTATTTCTTTCTGACTGAGGACAGCAGGAAATCTTTCTTTCCTTCTGATTATTTATACATGGCAGGTTGACAGGCCAGTCTGGGCACACTGGGAGCTGCCCGACTGACTGAACAGCTGAGTGTACTTACATGAGGCACTGTGTGCAGATAGAGGAGAGAGGGTGTTGTAAAATGGCTCAACAGCTTCCTCTAGTGGAGGTTACAGGGCAACACAACATCCACCTTAAGAAATTGTTTCCCTGTGATGTGTGATGTGCTCACTGCAGCAGTGGTTGTCAAACTTTATGTGCTCAAGGCATACCAAAGGTGGAGCCAAATCTCAAGGCTCACCTGTATAGCTGCACAGTAGCCTCTGTAACATGTGTTATCACTTATCATGACATAAATATTTGTTTTTATTTACTTACATCAAATAACAATTGACAACCAACTATTACTCATGAAACATTTATTAACAAAATTATTTAAGAATTCATTTTAAACTTTTTCAACTTACATCAAAGCACCAATAACACATCCATTCATACAGGAAATAATCTAAGAAAATGTGATGTGTCACACACTTATAATTCCCACCTGTGACCAGTGACAAATAGGTTCCCTGTGAAGTTTTTTTTTTAATTAAACTAAATTAATTAATTAATTAATTAGGGGGGTAGAGCCTATCCCAGCTGACACTGGGTTAGAGGCAGGGTTCACCCTGGACAGGTCGCCAGACTATCACAGGGCTGACACATAGAGACAGACAACCATTCACACTCACATTCACACCTACGGACAATTTAGAGTCACCAATTAACCTGCATGTCTTTGGACTGTGGGAGGAAGCTGGAGTACTTGGAGTAAACCCACACTGACACAGGGAGAACATGCAAACTCTGCAGAGAAGGGCTCCCCCACCCAGGTGTGAATCAGGAACTGATTTTGGAATCTAACTGTATTAAAGATTAAAGAGTTTTAAAGCTTGAAGGGGCCTTAGATACTTTTCCCTTTAACTGTCTGGTTTTAAAGGGTTCCCACACATTTTCATGGCCAACATTTAAAAATTTTTCCAACATATTAGATTCAAACTGTATTCAAACTTAATTTCAGCTCTCTGGCACACATAGAGAAAACACAGGGAGAAAATGAAGAAAGGTAGGTGATGACGAACAGAAAATTGACATGAATCATCGGCAGCTTCAGAAAAAATGAATGTGCCGTTTTGTTTCATTACATGGAGGATTATCCTTGGAAGACTGCTGTAACAATTTCATTACACATATCAAAATTGCATGACTTTTCCATACCTTTCAATGATTTTTACTAATTCTATGACTTTTCAAGGTTTTCCATTGCTGTGGGAACTCTGTTATTAGTTAGTTGTCCTAGAAACAACTGTAGAGAAAGTCAGAAATCAACTGTTCTTCTTTTTTTCCTCTGTTCTTTTTTTTCAGATATCAACATGGCTGGAGAACCGAAGCCAAACAGACCCAAAATCCTGAAGCGATCAGCAGCTTCTCTGTACAGGTACACGCTGCCATTTATTGTGTTGATTGTCTGATAGATCATGGTGTCACTAGACAGATCTTGGAGTATTTCAGGACTCTCCTTTACATGTGCACATTCTTTTAAAGGCCAGGACCTGTGTATACCATTGTGCTTTATGTTTTATGACTGGCTGTGGGGATCTTGTACACCAGTGCACACTATACTACTGCTAAATGGCCGTCTCTGTATGTCCACAGACTTTTGAATTGGTTGGACTTCATACTTAGATTTTTCCGCAGGCTGGTTCCTTCTTATCTGTGTCCATACATGTGTAAAATCCAAAATCAATATGGCCTGCGCTCCCAGACTATTCTATAGAGGGTAGTCGGCAACATTCAAACAGGCAAAAAAGCTTTTAAATAACTTGAGTTGATCGAGAAAAAGCAGCACAATTTGTTAATTTCTCAGTGATTTCTCCTAATTTTTCACTAAATTTGCTGTCGAAGTTGTACCTGTTTACTTAAATTGTTTTTTGTGATGCATTTTAACTGGATGCTGTGTTCACTCGTTTGTGATGTGTGACAGTATCTGTTGTTTGTGTTTATTGTTACAGTGTTCATTCTGCTGTCTTGGCCAGGTCGCTCTTAAAAAGAGTTTTTAATCTCTATAAGACTGTTACCTGGTTATATTAAAAGATAGACTGTATAGGACTTGTATTTTAGGGCCAACAAGAGAATATTAAACCCACAAATGTGTTAACCACAAAAGCAAATGCAGGCACTCATGTGGGACTGAGATCTAAACCACTTTGATTGAAGAGGGCCAAGGCTTTAAAACCACCCACACTGGATAACAACACCCTGGGGAAGGTGGGGGCTGGGACCTGTAGGTGTTTTATTAACAACACCCTGAGGCAGTGTTAGGCTGCTATTTTTAACATCTCAGCTCCCTTCAGTCTTCAGTTAGACAGTCTGACTTACATTTCAACTTGTTTATGGTAGAACACTATGTCTGATTTTTTTATTTCTCAAATACAAAACCCTACAAAACAAGACTTTTATTTTAACCTCAGATACTTTGAACGGTTATAACTGTATTTTCAACCTGGACCCTTTTCTCCGCCCATGTTTTTCTGTCGAAGAAACTAATGGAGATGGCGGTTTTGAAACTGGTCCAGTATTGAGCAAAATACTAGCTGACAGCAGCAAAACAGGCTGCTATATAACTGCAGTGGCATGCAAAAATGTGGGCACCCCTGGTCAAAATTCTGTTGAAGTGAATAGCTAAGTAAATAAAATATGAACTGATCTCCCAAAAGGCATGAAGTTAAAGATGACACATGATTTTCAACACTGTAAGCAAGATCAGTGTATTATTGTTATTTTGTACAATTAAAGAGTGAAAAAAATGAAAGGAGCACCATGCAAAAGTTTGGGCACCCCAAGACATCTGAGCTCGCAGACAACTTTTACCAGGGTGTCATACCTTATTTAGCTTGTTAGGGTTCTGGCTTGCTCACAGTCATCGTTAGGAAAGGCCAGGTGATGCAAATTTCAAAGCTTTATAAATATTCTGACTCCTGAAACCTTGTCCTGTCAATCAGCAGCCATGGGCTCCTCTAAACAGCTGCCAAGCACTCTGAAAACTAAAATAACTGATGCCCACAGAGCAGGAGAAGACTATAAGACGATAGCAAAGTTTTCAGGGAGTTGTTTCCTCAGTTCGTAATGTCATTAAGAAATGGCAGTTTACAGGAACTGTGGAGGTCAAACTGAGGTCTGGACGACCAGAAAAACTTTCTAAGAAAACTACTTGCAGGATTGCTTAAAAAAAAAAAAGGCAAATCAAAACCTCCGTTTGACTGCAAAAGACCTGCAGGAGGATTCATCAGACTCTGGAGGGGTGGTGCACTGACTGCCCACACTGGGGTGACACAGAGCTAGACTCACAAGTCAGTCTTTAGATGCTTTGCTTAACTAAAGACTGATGTCTTTCTCCCTGATTTTGTGTTTAGATGGGCGGATACAATTTCAGAGTTTAAAAAAACTCCCTACATTGCAGAACCAATAGTAAATCTGCAGGGCAGTTCTTCGGTGGCTCGCTGAACTCTTGTGCTTGTCAATTCAATTTCAATTTTATTTATAAAGCCCAATATCACAAATCACAATTTGCCTCACAGGGCTTTACAGCATACGACATCCCTCTGTCCTTATGACCCTCACAGCGGATAAGGAAAAACTCCCC